AAAAGATTTAAAAGAATATGTTAATTTGGTACCATATGAATCTTTTATTGTTAATTGCTGATTAATATTCCTTAAAAGTTGAGCGTCAAATCAATCTAGTTGCTGCACATATTCAAAAATAGTATTAGTATAAAATTCTCTTATGGCCGTACAATCATCGCAAGACTTTGGACAGCAAAAATATCATCGATCTTCAATAACGTCAGCAAAGTGCAGTAATTAATTGCTACTATTAAATGAGATAAAGATAAAATATTATGTATAGAGCAAGTTTAAAATTACATATTAAATATATATTAAATAAGATTAACCTAACTATTAAATATTCTTTATTTGTTAATTAAACCTATATTCATGAATTTAGAATTTATTAACAAAAATAAGTAGTGTTTCGATCCTATTTGTCAGAGATTATTTGGATATTCTCTTTTACCTATCTAGTTGATAATTTGATCCGATTGATTAGTAAATTCGGATTCATCATGAAAATCAAAATTTATTACAGCTGTTCTCATAAATTCTAGGACAATTTATAAAAAATTTTATATCGATTTCGAAAGTTTTTTTTTTATCAGCTGATAAAACTTATCGAAATTGACATCAATTTTTATCAATTGTCCCAGAATTTATGAGAACAGTTGTAATCGTAAGTTAGCTAAAACGAAACGAATTTCAAATATTTAATTAACTTAGGATGAGGACAACTTTACATTAGTATTGAGTGAGTAAGAGTCTATCAGCTATTATAATAACCTAACTACAGTATATATTACGAATCTATCCGTTTAAAATGAAAGGGTAAGGATATCTGTATATAATCCGAATTGGTCGGGTTACGGATAGAAACACTATTTTTAAGGAATTACAAGTACTTCACATATTTATTTAAATTGAATCATCAAAATAAAATATTTTTTTAAAATAGCGATAGTTAAAAAATTTGTGAAAACAATCTATTCTCTAATAATTTTATGAGTCAAGTTGGTTTTTAGGCATTGATGCCTGACGGAACTATTTTTGAATTGACGATGTTGACGAAACTATTATTATAAAAAATAAAAATAATTACTCTATAAAAAGATAACGTGTAACTTTATTTATTATTTTTTTAAATTTTTACATGTTTTTCGGAGTGCTATAGGTACGTTGCTAAATTTTCATTTTCACTCTCTATAACACTCAAATCATCACTAATATCTTCATACATATCATCTAAATCGTCATAAACATTATCTACACTATCGTTATTTTCATAGCTCCAACCTTTTGCTAAATCTGTAGGATCAAAATCAAATACGCCCTGTCCTGTCCTATTATCAACTGCTAACTCATCATAATCAAATTCATCAAAACTCCTCAGCATTATTATTATTTTGAAATTCTTCATTATTAACATCCGATTCATTATCGTGAAATATTTCATCATTTAAAAAGACTATGTTTTCAATATCAAAATGTTCAATAACTTCTAAACTACATCGTTTCTTCTATTTTATCATCTTCTGCAATTATTTCATCATAATTGACTAAAAATGTTACTGATATTACTTGTGCTTGTAAATTATTAGATAATAATATTTTATCAAAAAAAAAATATTTTTTTTATAAGAAATTTAGAAATATGTAAATTTGCTTAAAAATTATACAATGAATATAAAAATTTATTGTGCATAGGTATTAAAATAATAAAACTATATATAGAGCTTTTATTAGATAAAGTTTATCTATCTAGAGCAACAAAGTTATAATTTATTAAACACAAAATACTAATAGTTAAATTATTTGATTTATAAAAAATGAATGTTTTATAAAATAAGTAAGCAATATAAGATATAAACCTCAAGTAACTCTTATAATTTATCAAATTTATAGATAAACTTTTGTTTTTTTTTTACTTTTTATGATAAAGAATTTTTGCTATAGACTTTAAGCTTTAACAAGCTTAAAACTATTACTCAAGATATCTGTTTTTTTTTGTTTTTTTCTATTTTTTTAACTCCTATTTTAATTTCTTCAATAATATTTTTATTAGTAACTTTTTTTTCTCTTTTAATAGAATTTACTGTATATTTTATATAACATGAATTATAAAGCATTATAGTGTTATATTACTATTCTATTACTAAATCTTTAGTTATAACTTCTTGTCATATTTCATCACCTAACTGGCAAAACCTTTGAGAAACAGTTGTTCTATACTTTAAGCAGTTTTTAACATCTGTAACTTTGATTATAAACTTAAAGTTGTAGGATTTAAATAGATTTAATTAATATATACTTTCTACTATTCAAAAGCTTCAAGTTTGCTTAGTAATCTATTAGCACTTAGATTATTATACAAGTAAGTAATATAAGATATTCAAGTACTTTAAAATAATATAAAAAACTTTTATAAGTTGTGTAATGTTAAATGATGATCTATATTTAGAGCGCTGTTCCTGCTGTTACCTATTGCAGAGAATAGTTAAAACTCAAGTATGTTTATATGTTTTTGATTATTTAATTAAAAGTAGAGTAAGGGATAGTTAGAGGTTAGAGTTAGAGCATATTTTATACATAGGCAAAATTGTCTTCCTGACATTTTTTATTAATGCTTCAAGACAGGTTTAGATATTTGTTTCTTGTATTTTTGACTTTTTCACTTTTATTTCTGGTTTTTGTCTCATCTACGTAGAAGATCACATTTACGATTTGATTAGCTGTTGGTCACGTGAACACACCTGGCTTTAGACGACCCCCTATTGCAGTATCTAAAGCGAAGTTAATTCAATATATAGGCTGCCATCAATAGAAATAAGGCAAATTGACATTTGAAAAAAAAATTAGTACCTCGATGAATTTTAAAACTATAAGCTTTATTTTGTATATTAAATCATTAAGATAGCTTCAAAATTCATCGAGATACATGCTGTGAAAGCTAAGGTATTAATTTTTTTTCAAATGTCATTTCAGCAGCCCATATGATCTACATATTGATAAAAATAACATAAATGCATAAAAAAAGTAACCATAACCCTAACTAAATATCGCTCCGCTTTAGCCTCCTATTGTAATAATCAAAACATACGGAATTTTTCAAAGACAACAAATCGTAAACTTTTTCGGATCCTTTGGATATTATTGTTATACATATGCAATAAACTACATATACAGTATATGATTTATACTAGAGACTTAAACTTGTTAGTTCAGTTTTGAAACACGAACTAACATTGTTCAGAACCATTGAGTTTTAAACTATCGCTATGCTTTAAACTTGTATGTATAT